GCCGCTTACGCCGCCGCTCCCTATGCCGCCTACGCTTCACCCTACGCCGCTTACCCTTACAGCGCCGCCTATGTGCTCCGCAAGTAAACGGAATGCAGCGGTTGACCTGTAATAGTATCAAATTGGATTTAATTGACAATGAAAAGGATACAATTTTACTGAACCCACAATAGCAAAAAATAAAAACATAAGCTTGAAACGAATTTATTTGGTGCTTCTTATTTCGTACATCCCTTGGTTGATTTGAAAGTTTCGGATGGATTGCGATTATAGGAATTAGTAAGGTTAGGGATTTAGCATGCTTGATAAGTTGGATGAAACAAAGCCTCGATTCGATGGAATAATACTTTTTCATTGCTTCAGAGGGATGTTGCAAAAGGAATGGGGACAACATGGATCTTTGTACAATTTATAGTTCGCTTGAGACGAAACGCATTACTTCAAAAGACCCAAGCAATTTATGCATCTGAATATACCAGTTGTAAAGCCTGGTCCTCATTTTAATTGTGAATTTAAGAAAGATCAGCATTTTAAAAGTCCTCGACATTCCTGCAGGGCATTCGCGAAACAAAACTCATGCGTGCATTTCAGCATTTGTGTTGTATTTGTGGCCAACTCAGCGAACCGCTTGCGCCAGGGATTTCGCGTCGAGTTCAGCAGAGTCGCTGGCAGTCCTTCAGCGTTCACTGCTGCAACTCGGCTGTCAACAACATTTTCATGGTCACTTCAGTGTGCGAGTTGATTTGTAGCTGTCAGCAGTTCTTGCCAGCGAATATTTGGTTGGGTTAAAAGTTACATGTAAGCGATAGCGTGTTTACCGAGTTTTTACTTGGTGCCGTGGCCTGCTGCTGACACTTGCTACATGAACAATTTCAGTGTGATAAACAGTTGCCATGAACACTTATGTTTTTATTACTGATAATTATATGCACAAAAGCCGTTATTGATATTTTTTTTTTTTTTTTTTGATATCTTATTGGGATACGTTTCAAAGCCTTGCATCAGTTAAGTTGAGAATCTAACGATAATTGCAACGTGAGGGTTGATTCTTGCAATGAGGGGAAGATGGAGTCATGTGTAGAAGTTCACGCAAGTTCTCTGATTGCCATTCACTAGGGAGAGACCAGAAAAGATTCTGGTTTTGGTACCCACTACATAAAAAAACGCACCCAATTAGAAGGAACAAACATCCTTGATAGAGAAACTACAGTTAACGTAGTAATACCAAAATCTGCGTCAGGATCGGGAAGAACCTCTCTGAGCCGTTCAATACCAAACGAGGTTTCAGACAAGGTGGCTCCCTATCGTGCGAATTCTTCAATCTGGTGCTGGAGAAATTAATTTAAGCTGCACAACTGAACAGAGAAGGTAAAATCTTCAATAAGTGTGTAGTCGCACTCGCGACTAGGCACCTACGTAACTGTTGACAGTCATAACTTCGAAGTTGTAGATAATTTCGTCTATCTTGGAACCAGCATTAACAGCAACAACAATGTCAACTCTCGCTAACATGTGCTACTTCGGACTAAGTAGGCAGTTGAAAAGTAAAGTCCTCTTTGGACGAACAAAGTCTAAATTCTGTACTCTGTAGGTCGTACAAATGGATGAAAACACTCCTGCTCTGAAAGTATTCGACGCATAAACCTCCGGGGAAGCAGATAAGCAGGAAGACCTCCAATCCGTTGGAAAGACCAAGTGAGATGGACCTGGTTACACTTAGAATCTCCACTTGGGAGATTGGCACCAAGCATCGAACACGAAGAAGGACTGCAGCGGTAAGCGGTGTCTACACTAATAAAGAATAAGAAGAAGACTGATACTGAAAAAGTAGAATCATTCTTCATCATACTATACGAGGTGTGTTCAAAAAGTATCGCGAATTTTGTGTTTTTTCAAAAATTATTTATTTATTCTTGAATATCTATTTTGTCCCCTCCCAAGTAATCCCCATGAGATATTATACACTTGTGGCAACGGTTTTTCCAATCTTCGAAGCACTTCAAAAAATCTTTTTTTTTTTATCTTCTTCAGCTCCTCCTTCGATGCCGTCTTTATGGGCCTCTTCAGTTTAGGGAACAAGAAAAAGTCACAGGGAGCCAGATCTGGGCGATACGGTGGCTGCGGCATCTTTAGTGTGTTGTTTTTGGCCAAAAAGTCGCGCACAAGCAACGATGTGTGAGCAGGGGCGTTATCGTGGTGCAAAAGCCAATTTTTGTCACATCTTCTCGGCCTTCTGAGAACATTTTGTACCACCGATAAACGTTGCTTCGGTCCAAAGTAGCTTCTCCGTATGCCACAGTCACATTCGGAATGCATCCGCGCACTTAATTTCGTTTTTCACACAAAATTTGWTACAGGTTCTTTGATCCATTTTTTTGAATAGGTAAAAATCGAAGACGATCCTAAACACGTGCAAGCAAAGCAGCTGTCAACAATTAAATGAACATTCAAAATGGCCGAGCTTGTCGGCATAAGTGAG